GACGCATGGCTCTGGCTTCTGATTGGTCAATAAAGCCTGTTCTGTTGTACCGGTCTTTTACCTATTAGGGCTCGGGTATTTTACAGTGGCGTCGGATCTGGGCGCAGACATGTTGGACCACCTGGCCTCAGCTAATCCCGTGTCTCTCTGCGATCGAATAGCATGCAGGAAAAGAAGGCAGCCAACCAGAGAAGGACATGGATGAGATGCAGTATATAATGAGCGGCGTGGCCAGCGTGGTGGACTCGGATGGAAGCCGCCTGACGCGTGGCTCTGGCTTCTGATTGGTCAATAAAGCCTGTTCAGTTGTACCAGTCTTTTTCCTATTAGGGCTCGGGTATTCTACATGGCGTCGGATCAGGGCGCAGACATGTTGGATCACCTGGCCTCAGCCAATCCTGTGACTCTGTATTCCAATGGCATGCGAGGAAGATATCAGCCAACCAGAGAAGGACACGAATGAGGTGCAGTATTTTATAATGAGAGGCGTAGCGAGCGTGTTGGACTCTAATCAATAGTGTCTGACATGTCGTTCTGGTTTGTGATCAGTCAATAAGGCCTGTTCAGTTGTACAATTTTCCATCACACTTGGAGTCGTGATTCCTTCAGAACCCTGCGGCATCAAGCCGAAAATTACGGGTTCGAGTTGCACAACGAAGCAGAAATGTTTTGAAGCATTCTTCTTCTACATTTTAAACCGGATTTTAGAGGAAGAAGTGTAATTAAATCAATTTAAAACTTAAGTTGCATTCGAATTCTTAGCGTTTTCCAAAACTTAAAACAAACCATATTTTGTCGTCTTAGTTATGCATTTCCCATATCTAACGACTTTATAACTAGACCCTTTAAAACCAAGTATTACAATGCTAGCTATTTAAAGAGGTAGACCTGACTCATAATCATAGAAAGTATTTTGAAGTACATGCTGTTCGCAGAACTATACTGACAGCTAAGAATTATAAAAAAATTCAAATTTCTTCTGAAATGCCACGTTATGCACACAATAGTGCTCTTAGCCAACTTTACATGATCGAAACGAAGCTTGCACTTTTACTGAGTGCATAAACTGTGTTATATCACAGAACACAACTTGCTTTCGTGACTTCACTAATCAACCGTATTTTTTAAATTGTTTCGGTGAAATGGATTTCCGAAAATTGGAGTCTAGTTGCAGTGGATGTCCTTAAAGTACCTGCATACTGACACACACGGTGTTAGATCATGGCTTGAGATA